CCGTGTAACATCCTTGTTTTCTGATGACAGTTTTATAATCAGTGGCCCTTTTTGAATGTTAGAAACAGTTCCTCAGTCATTTACACACCCAGACTAAAGTTACAACAGCAGTATGAGGTCTAACCGGGAGTATTGTCCATGGTAAAGTGCAATACTCAGTACCATAGATATTTTCTTCTGTACCTCCTGAGTTTCTATCATGTAGCTTGGAGTAATTTCTTTTTTGTGAAACCTAACCTACCAAATGTTCCTTAATGAGCTCATAGTGCCAAGGTGATGTGACTCCAGTGTGCTTGTCAGCTGTCTCCAGGCAGAGGCTGATTTGCATTCAGACCAGACTGCCTACAGAGACAGGGCTTCTTAACTGACTGTCAGTTGTTCACATTAAATGTAGGATGAATCTGCTATGGAGTTCACCTGCCTCCTATGTATGAAAGAAGAAATTGTTCAAAGAACAATCTATGCAATTCTAAATGAAAAACAATGCGGACTGATTTATGAGAATGTTTAAACACGTGCCAAGCTTTAACCTAGATCAGATAGGATGTCTAGGTCTTGTTTAGTTCTGCACTTTGGGTGTAATTCCGTATATCCAAAAAAGTCTATACTTTGGTCATGCCAATTCCAAAAATCTTGCAATTGTTATTCATTAAATATCAAACACAAATGGAAAACAATTTGTTTAGAGTTGTGTAATCGTTCATAGGTTACAACTACATCTCTGACTGATCAGAACTTCAAGGGCATCAGAATACTAAAACGTGCTATTCATATTGAAGAACACAGGGTATTACCACTGAGACTGAAATCAAACAAACGGGAGTGGAAATGTCTGTTTCAGTGGAAACCAGCTGATACCTCAAATAGATATGAGTAGGTTTCTTCATATAAACACCATCCCTGGAGATATTTAAAAGATGTGTAAATGTGGCACTTTGTGACACAGTTTAGTGGTGACCTGACAGTGCTGGGTTAACGGTTGGGCCTGATAATCTTAAAGGTCTCTTCCATCCAGAATGATCAAAGCTCCATGACAGATATCACTTTAACCTTATATTTGCTTCTGCATGGGTCTTTGGTATTCACTTGATTCAGTACCATCCAGCCTCTCCCTAGTATTATACTTCTATATTTAGTTCTTATCAGTTGATTACTGGCTGTTTCTGATAACAGTGTACTCCCAGGATTCATCAGATATATCACTGTTGAGGCTAAGTTTCCTTTGCTTGCCACTGCTGTGCTGTTGAGGATGCACTGAGACACAAAGACCTTTTCTTTTGCTTAGTTTCATTTTGTAGGACTGAACTCTGAGAATTCCTTGGTAATGTGCTAGAAGACAAGCTCAAATATTGTTCTGCATTTCCATGTTGACTGATGGTTTTACTTAATTCCTCAAATGCTTCCTTGTATCAGTATCAAAGTCTCTCCTCTCATCATCTGATAATTCAATGTGATCTATTTTCTTGCCCTATTCCCTTTTTAATAATAGCATCAACGCAATCCAGAAATCAACTCATAAAGTATTTGTATACTCCTACTTTGAACATATCAATGACACAACTTTTCATCAAAAAGCAGGAGTCTGTATTAGAGTCTGTAAAATAGTAAACCTCTGACATTTTCTTAAAATAAAATATTCAAATAGTTGTTTTTGTTTGATATATGTTAGGATTCTCACTGAAATACACATTATCTGAGATCAAGGCACATGGTTACACAGAGACATCTGTAGCAGCATATAGTCCTTCCTTCTTTATCAGATTGGTACTTTTTCCCTAGCTAAGTAACTATAGAGCAAAGAGAATTTTCATTTTATTTTCTTTAACACAGACATATATCTCAGGAATCTGGTATAAGGAGGGACACTTAACCTGCTGCTACAACTCCCTCCATCACCACTGAATGTGACATCTGGTCCTGGGACAGTTCATTTACCATGTAGCCCCTGTGAGTGGAAAGGAAGTATCTACTGATAACTTGAGCCAAGAGAATATTCACATTGTGCTTCAGACATGATGGAAAGAAACTGAGGAGAAGCTGTGTGTGTCCAGGTTTGGATATCGCTTGCAAGAACCAAAGTAGTTTTACATTTTTCAATTTTGCCCACTGTTTGGAATATGAACAAGAAGAGACAAAGAACATTTTACGAGAGAGGTTTTCCTATCCGGTTAGACAGAAAGGGCTCCCAGCAAAATGCATTCTGGGTCAGGTTTAATATTTAAGCCAAGTCAAGGAATTAACATTTACTTTGCTGGAAGAAGAAGATTTTGTGCTGGCTTTCTGCATCATGCAAATTTCACAAATTAGTATAGAGACTTTTAAACCTGTACCACGTGCTAAACTTGATGTTTTAACAAACCTTTTAACTAGCCCTAAACAAAATTTTGAGAACTTCCCTTATTTAGATTCCTAAAGAAGAAAGAAGATATTCTGTATAATTTTCAGATGGTAATGTTTGTTTATCAAAGTAAATGTACATAGACATACAGAGAAGCAGAAATTGGTTCACCTTAGTCCTATATATATTTTTTGAAAGGTCATTATTATTTCCAGTAAATATGAAACCTAACTCCCTTGTCTTTACCCCTCCCTCCCTTAAAGGGACAACTGTGCAACTTCCAATACAGTTGTCTAGAGCTGTAGTTGTAAGATATTTGAGAACAGCTTTAGCCTGCTTCCCATAATGAGTGTTTTTAATATACAAGGGATGCAGAGACTACAAAGCAGTTCTCTTTTCTGGCCACTGGGTTGTGAAAAATTTATTTCCAGTTGGATTCTCTCACTTCTGCTATTACACTTTGGTTTCAGAATATCAACCCATAATCGAGGTTGAGCGTGAATAGCAGCAAAGAAGGAAGGCATGAAGGTGAGAGGGCAGGTGGTAGAAGCTGAAGTGAAATAGTGAGGGACAGACAACCACACACATAGAGTTATACAAACAGATATGCCTGGGTCACGCTCTCAGGATCTCGCTACATAAAACAAGGACAAAATTCAGACATAAAAATTTTCCCCAGTTCTCGCTTCTTGTATACACAAACTAAGCCTATATTATTTTATTTCAATGTGAACAGTAATACAATTGCAAGCAATATTGTTTTCACAATATTGATTAGCGCTGTGGTTCAGGTACTCAGCTGAGATGATAGTTCTTATATCTTAAGCAAGCAGCACAGCTGTCAAAATACAGATGACAGAAAATATTTAACTGTTCACGTAAAATGGAATTGTGCCAGCAGAAGAGAAAGTGCTAATTAAGGACAAGGACTCTGCCTTAGTATCACACATCCTAGCACTGTTTACTAAACAATGAGCTATTGTGGGCAGCTGTTTTGTTGAGGTGAATGTGATTCCACAGAACATTCCAGTATTCATGAATTAATATTTTTGAAGGAATAAGGTTTTGTCTGAAGTCTTTTCATCAGCCTTAGTGAGGAGGATCTTCTGAAGTACAGGCTAAAGGAGCAAATGGAGGGTTAGGAGAATGATCATAAAAGCACTGACTACTGAGCATTGAGCAGTCCAAATTTGTTAGTGCAAAAGGTTTGGTCAGTAGAGATGAAGAAGACAGGAGACGGAGTTTTCATTGTAGGCTTTGGCTAGAAAAGACCATTTTCAGACATGTGGCAGGTTTGAAGTGTGTTAGAGAGAAGGGAAAAATCCTATGTGACTGCAAATTCTTCAGTGAACCTTCTCGTCTGTACTGGAAAAACAGATTCCTTTCCACAGAGCCACTTTGCCACAGAGCCAGGTGCTCTCCTGGGGGGAAGATCAGAAGTGCAAATGCCAACCCCTGTAGTGGAGACAAACCGACTATAAGTTCCCTAGTGAGAACTGTTTAAGATGGTTTCTGATTTCATGTGACGATGACATTTATGTAGAGGTATGCTGGCTTGAGGGCATTTTTTTGCTAATTTCATTTTCAAGGTCTTGCTCACATACATAATTTCACAGCTGTGAAATTGCAAGCAATACAATGAAAAGATTGCTTGGGTTTTGAAATCATTATTCTTTACATTGTTAATACTTTTGTTCCTCTAAATTGTTTTAAAAGTCTACTTGCTTTCAGTTTTATAAAAACTTGTTTAAAATCACAGATTTTTTGACCTGTTTGTTTTCATGACTCAAAACTAGGAAAAACAAAATCTGATCTGATTAATATTTTTGCATATTACCATCACACATTTAAACTATAAAAACTTCTATTTACATTTTTAACATTGTTCTATAATACTTAGATGAACTTCACAGATATGTGCGAAAGTTGCAGCAATTGGAAGAATACCAAAAAATCCAAATTGAAGCAGTTACCAGTTTCATAATTTTAAAGTGACGAGTGAATTGGCTGTGAACTGCAACTAAGGATCAAAATTGAGAAAAATCACCTAAATTTACCCTCCCTCTTAGTTAGTGGTAAGATTCATAGGACCCTCCCCAAACCAAATAAGGCCAGGAAGAATGTGCTAAGCACTGAGTGTGCTAAGAATAAAGTTGAGCTGAGATGGATAAGGTTACTTTGAACTCTATATTTCACGTTTCCTGACATACCCCCCCAAAGAACTGCAATTATGCTAGTGAAGCTGCAGGCGTGTTAAACAGCTCTTTCCCAGTTCCTTTGGATTTTGCTGCCTTTCCATGTATTCTGTTTAGAGCTGGGCCTTTTTACTTTTTATTTGCAGTGTGCATGGTTCTTAGGAGATTAGAAAAAAAAAATATGCTGAAGATTCACTGTGAGGCATGGCTATTTTTGTTAGAAGCTGACATTTTAGAATGAGCTTTAAGTGTTACCTCTGGAAGGTTGCTCTCAAAGGGCAGGAGTCTGCAGAGGAAAAAGAAAGTTCAGAGGGGTACAAAAGAAGAAGGAACAGAATTAAAAAAAGCAGAGTACCTCCCTCCTTCACATTCTGCAGCCACTGCAAGAGCCAGCAACCCAGAAGTATTATCTAAGCTGCTACAGTAGAGCTTGACCTTTTAACAGAGTATCTCTTACCATCGCCATCATGGCCGATATTACAGCAGAAGGTACAGTAACTATTTTCAAATGTAATTAACCAAAACCTATGTGTAGTTTGACAGTGCAATTGAGCTAACATATCAATATGTTTTGTTGCTCTTAGCAGATAACACTTTTACTCCAGGATCATTTAATTTCGTTTATGGATTACTTTATACTTTTCTTTACTGTTTTTTGGTTTTATTTTTTAATTTTATTTTTCACTCCTGTAGCCTGAGTTTATACCAGTTACTGAAGCTAGATCTCTGCACACCTCTAAAAATAGATTTAGTCCCATGTGCAGAGCAACATTGCTTAGGCAGCTCCATTAGAGTGATACATAAGTGAGCTGGCTGAATGTCAGGTGATTCCTCCCTCAAGCTTTTGCTCAGGTAAAGTTTTGGAAGTCTCTTATAATTGGAGATTTTCCAGAGTCAGAATAGCTTGGTTTGGTGTCCCTGATTTTTCCATAAGGAGCACTGAGTATTTGTGAACTGAAGGGTAAACACTGTCAACTCTGCAATCTTTATTTGGGTAAACTAAAGAAATTAAAGTTGTGCTGAAATAAGTATGTCAGAGCTAGGATTGCAAGAATGAAAGGCAATTGTATTAAATGATAAATACACACTCTAAAATATTAATATTTCATGTACTTTAATATTTCCTGACCATTCACATTTAAATAGCATTTTAGATGCATAAAAATATTTTATCACCTGAAGTCAGACAGGATATATTTAAAATGCAACCTTCTGTGAATTTAATACTGGATATTTTAGTTGAATTTCATTCCAACATTTTTTTTTTTCCCAGTGTAGATTACTCCACTGTTTATTTGATTTTAATAATGACACTACAAAAAGAATGCATTTAAACAGTCTTCCAAAAAGTTATTCTTGTTCTGCTTACCCAGGTTATGTGGCACTTCAGTCTATGGAAATTGTATTTTTCATCTTCTAGTTTTCATTGTTAAAGTTTGTAAGAGGATCTGCATTAAGTGCTATTAATGAGCCTATTGTCTTATAAAGGATTGGTTAGGACTATGTCAAATTGTATATATGCCTGATGTCTGCTTAGCCACAGCAAGGAGAAAATATGCATACATTTTAATCAGCAGTTGGACCGGCCTATAATTTGCTTCTGGCATCAAATACTGCCAAAACAGGTGGCTCAGCCTGACAGCTCTAACCCAAATTCTAGCACTAGTTTATTAGGATATTCTTAACCAGGTTTGTTGGAAAAATTGTGGGTTTTTTTATAGATGTTATCAGGGAAATCTGTGAGATTATATTTCTCTTCCAAAATGCATGCATTAATACCATCAGTGTCGAAGGAGTAGTATTATGAAAGAACCTCTTGCAAGGCTCTCCAAGCAAAAAAAGTCCCAAATTGGCAAGATTTTTAGTCCAAAATTAATAATAAAAATAAAAGACTTTTCACTCTTCTGGAAGTGACTTTTCAGTCATTTAGCTTGTAAAATAAAGAAAATAAAAGACTCTAAAATACAATAAAAATAAAAGAGTCCAAAAAAGAATTTTAATAGTGTTTTTATAGTTGTTTCTTAGCTGTAATACTGCATGTGTTTCTTCTGTGTTTTAACTCTTCAAAGCAATAAACTTCAGAGGATAAGTGGCATCACTTCCACAGTAAACTGACCATCAGCATGACAAGTAATTAAACCATATAATTAGTTTAGTTTAAAGTTTTTTTTCTTATATTTGGCATGGACTTATGTTAGTTGGGTGATTTTTAAATTCTGGATCCACAAGATGAAAATTTTACTTATGGCAAACAAAATAAGAATTCAGCCTGGGGCTAATGTTTATTTTCCTCTGGGGCTACTGCTGGTACTCATAAGGCAGTCTGAAAGTTCAGATCTAAACTTCAGTGACGTATAGTCTGGACGAATAAAAAACAATTAAAATACTTCTTGCTTCACACAAATCCCATTTGATTTTATTTTATTTCATACTACATCCCAGCCCATGATTTGGTGGGTCTTTCTAAATTTATTAGGGTTAAAGTACTTGCTCCTTGTGGTAGTATTCTTGACTATATTTTCCCCTGTCAGCCACACTTCAGCTAGACCGTTGGTCTCCTTGCCTTTTGGGGTACCATGTTGATATGTCAGAGTGCACGACACATCAGTGATGTCACTGCCAGTGTAGATGCTGGTTTAGAGAGATGGTCCAGCCCTGACAGTGTGACACATCTCAGGTGCTCATCTCAAGTTATCTTTTTTTGACAGCCCATGTCAACACCCTTTCTATTCAGACATAGGTGCACAGGTCTGAAGGGGTGCTGTTTCAGGTCAATATCATGACAATGAGACTAAGTAGCTTAAAAATGTAGCCACCAAGCTATGACCCTGACCTGTCTAATTGCATCACAAGCCATATGCGCTGTCTGTTCATCGCCACAGCTACAAGTTGTACCCGATTAAAGACAAAAGAATATCTCTGAAGACGGCAATATATAAATGTCCTTAGAAAGCTGGCAGGACCTAGGTGTCCTGCTGACAAATATTTAGGAAAAGATTCCAAAGGATTATCTTCAGCATCGTCATATTACATGTAATTGCAACCACGGAAATGTACTACTAAAATGTGGAAGTACTCTACACTATACGAAAAATCTCAGTATAGATACTAAGTACTCTCTCTTTCCAACACATTCAGAATCTGTTATTATTTATTTTTTAAAAATATTATTGTTGTTGCCACTGTTGTTATTTTTATTATTGTTATATTTCAGTTGTTACTTATATTCAGTAATGGCAAAGCACTTTGCTATGATCCACTTAAGATCTTGCCTAGAAAGCCATGGGTATCTAACTGTGCTACTCTGTTGCGTTTATGCACACAAAGATTGGACTGGACTCAATGGTGTATTTACAGATGTCATCACTGAAATATGAATACAAAAAGCCTGGAACCTCTGACAAATGGCATCTACCAATGTACAGTTTAATCTGTATGTGTACAATAGCTCCAGCAGCAGCCCTATAGTTGATCCTTTCTAGTCCAGTCTACTGCAGGTCACAGTGCGAGGTTGGTGTCTTTCCCCTGGCGCTTTAACCTCTCATACAGGGAAGAGTGAACGGAGACTCGGCTCTGGCTGCTGCAATGCACAGGAGACTGTGTACTGATTTAATCCAGGGAGGTGAGGAGAGGAGAAAGACAAGGTTTCTATGCCAGCTGTCTGCCACAACTTATTTCCCCAGTGGAGCAAGAGAGAAACAGAAGTCAAACAGAAATTTGACAGTGAGTCACAATTTGGTCCTTATTTTGCTGCTGTGAGCTGTGCAAGTACACGTGTCCTCTGTCTCAGAGCAGGCTGCCCCAAGGGCACATGCAGGTTATCAGTGACAAAATCAAAATTAGCTTCTGATTTTCAGTCCTTTTGTCAGGCTAGCTGATAACTATGAAAAGTTGCAAGATATAAACCATTTCAAAAGGCAGATTTAACAAGATCTATATGCTTGAAGATTAATATATGTGAAACTGTTAACGTATGAGAAATAACACACAAAGCCAGTGGGTAAAGTCGTATCAATTTAATGAGTGTGATAGCCAGAAGCTAATAACGATCTGCAGTTGGCAAAAAGTTAAGCAAAGTCACACTACAGGTAGATAGTGACTTCTCATGGTAATTCATGAGCTTCTGCTAGAGTTGCTAGTTGTGCCAAATGCAAAAGGAGCCTAGGTGAATAAATTAGATTAGATGATTTATTTTGACGGCTAAAGACTACGAGGTATTCCCTAGCCTTCAGGTAAACTGCTGTTTAAGCACTGAATTAGGAGGTTTCTGCGGTATTTATTTGCAACAAGAGAATTTGCAAAATTAAAGGATGTTCTTTTTCTAACTTTCAACACTGATGAGGAAGCAGATAGTATAGCTTTTGCTATGGGATAAGGAAAATACAAGGCTGACAATGATTTTTCAAAGCAATCAGTCTGTTGTTATTCAGTAGTACCAGGTAAAGTCAATAGCTTAATTACTCAGTGAGAAAAATGAGAAAAGTGTTGAAACTTGGATTCCACTGTGCCTGTGCCTGGAGAGCTGAGCTGGCTAGTTTGGCTACAGCCTGGGTACTATTTCATAGCCTGTTAAAGCAAGCAAGTATGACTAGATTTTTAGCTTAAATTTTAGGTTTAAGAATTTGTGGGCAATGTTACTTGTACGATAGCTCTCCATGTTCAGCTGGTACAGAGAAACTTTAAGATAACATTACCTTAGCTAATCACTTAAAAAGTCAGTTAGCTATGCCTAGCATAGCTAGGCTTAGCTTTTTCTTCAGCAGAAAGCCTTAAAACCTGTAAACCAGAGGTTTTAAGTGAATGCATTATGTTTCTAGTCCATGATGGGTTAAAAGTCTGTATGTGCAGTTAACTTGTGTTTACTTTTGTGCAAACAACTGGACTGTAGGTCTAATCACCTATTCACTTTTTTTTAATAGAACCTTGTGCTCATAAATATTTGGAACATACTTTAAGATTACTTATATAATGAGAAATGTTTAAAAGCCTAGTAACATTCTCAGGTTATTGGTGTGATTAGTTTACACTGACTCAAAAATGACACCTGTGCAACTACTTCTATTCTGAAATGCCCCACTTTATACCTTCAGGTACCTAATCTTTAAAAAAAAAAAAAAAATCTAGAATATAAATATAATGAGTACTTTTACCCATTGCCTACAACGTAAACACTGAGTAAAGAAGTGAATTCATGATAGAAACTGATTTAGGTTAAAACACATATCATAATGCTGGTCTGGCTTCGGCCCAGGACACTCTGAGGACAGAGAAACCAGAGAAACCTCCCTCTTTGACGGAGGTCAGCTGCTTATAGAAATAGAGACGCTTTCCTTTCCTTTCTGATGCTGATATTCCCTGATTTCTGCTGTGTCTAAGAAGATTGAATTAGTTGACAGTGCTCATTTTACCAGCTTAAAGCATACTTAAAGTAGTAGAGGGTGGATTACTTTAAATAAAAATTATTGAAAACCTTTTAGATCACGAATTTC